CCGGCCCCCCTGACTCCTGTGATACACAACCCGGACCTGGCGGGAGGCCTGACAAAGGGGGATATTGAGGGGCTGGGGGAGGGGACGAAACAATACCTTCGGGCCTGGTGTGCTAATAAAGCCCTAAGGCCACTGGAAGACATGCTGGGCCAGAGCAGGGAGACAGGGATCTTACGATTTAGGTACCACCAGATACGCCAGTACTATGCCACACTTCAGGGGAAACACCTGGTCCACCGAGACCTCACACACTTTGAAACGCTATGCGAAGGGGGAACGCACCCGACACGCGGGGTATCGACCCTATATGCCATGCTCCTGGGTGCCGACGCGGGACCCCCGGCACACTTCCACTCAAAGTGGGAACAAGCAACAGGCGTCACCTTAACGGAACCACAATGGGAGCAAATACACGTTCTGTCCCACCAGGGGATACTTAGTTCTAAAATGCAGGAACTTAATTATAAACTCCTGACGCACTGGTACCAGACCCCCGCACGACTCCATGCCATGGGGGTCACCCTCGATAACAAGTGTTGGAGATGTGACATTGCCGAAGGGACGACATTACACCTTTGGTGGTCTTGCCCTAGGATAGCCCCCTTCTGGCAACAGATCCACGACAAAGTGGTGGACATCTTGGGGGAAGACATCCCCATGGAGCCCCTCCCTATGCTTTTAAACCACACTCAGATACCCCTGGGGCGTTATAAGAAAACCCTTATCAGACACTTCCTCAACGCAGCCAAAAGCCTCATCCCCGCCAGATGGAAATCACCAGTGGTCCCAACCATTACTCAGTGGATAGAAAAGGTCGATGAAATTTATAACATGGAAATTCTTACGGCAGAACTCAGGGGCACGCAAGACCGCTGCACTCGCCTGTGGACACCGTGGATCACCTACAGCTCGGACCGGAGGTGGGGGCGGCCGAGGGCGGACCGTCTGGGGCCGGACGAGGAGGCGGAGTAGCGTGGGTGGAGGCTGGATCGCGGCCGCGCGGGACCCCCACATTTCCCCCCCCCTTTTTTTTTTTCTTCCTCTCTTCTTCTCTCATTCTCTCTCTCTCTCCTCATGTCCACATGCCCCAACGACGAAGCGAAGGTGACCGACAGGGGAGGAAAGGGGACCTTGACCGGAGTAAACACATGATAGCCACAGATAGCAGGTAGGCCGGAGACAGCCCGGCCAAGGTTAAATTAACAACCCATCGGGGGAGGGGGGGTCGGACCCCGGGCAGTACACCCGACCGACTCAGAATACCACCGAGGGGGGGCTCACGGGGACCGCATCTGGACCCAGGGGGACCACCACCTCCTGTTCGAACCAGAGGGGCTTCGATCCCACGCTACAAGCTAAACAAGGTACTGCACCTCGCCAACGACAATATATGCCCACGTACATGGTGGAACACTTGCTAATCGCCGGACGATAGGCAAGCCACTGCGATCCCGGCGGGCCCTACTTTATAAAGCAAATAGGCTGGGGGGTGGTCGGGGACTGGTGTTCCCCTCTAAGAGGCAGGTCCAACATAAAAGTCCACTAAGATCACTAGGTCTAAGAACCGGAGAAATGAGGCCTGATCAAGACTGGTGGGGTGAGGGGGGGAGAGGGGGCTATTACGGCGGGGGGGGTGGAGAGGAGGGGAAACTTAAGAACGAAACCCTACAAATATTGTTGGGCATAAGGTTTGGGGGCATCCCGAAACTTGTTATACCGTGTCTTTTGTTACGATTTGACCTGTATTGTAACCTTATTACATACAAATAAAGAATGTCAAAAAAAAAATAAAAAAAAAATAAAATTGTAAAATGAGATAAAAAATAAAAATAAAAATAAAAATAAAAACTAAAAACACACTTTGACTCCCAAAATCTGTTACGCATCTACAACCACCAAAAAACACCCAAGGGTATCTCAAATGGTGGTATTTTAACACTTTCCATGCACTAATTCTACCACCAGTCTTTGTCAACCTTTTGGGTAGTCATTTTTTTTGTTACTTTTTTTCTCACATTGTACTTTAGGCATGGATTCTCAGCTCCTGTTATGTATTACTGCCAAAGAACACCCCAATATGTGTTCAGCAACATCTCCTGAGTACAGTGATTTGGGGGTGCAATGCCAAACTTCTGACATATGTTTTTCAAATTTGATACCTTCTGTACTTCACTTCTTTTTGGAGGCTTTTTTACATATCCCAATTTTATTTCTTGCCATGAACATGCATATATTTGACAAGTTGACACCCCAAGGTATTGTATATGGAGTGTTTTGATACAACCGTTTTAGCCCAAAAAAAAATTGGAGAAAATGTGTGGTGGTTTTTCACCTTTCAATTTTACACACACATTTGAGTGTGATTTAGGGGAGCCTGTTGGTTATTGCAAGAAAACACTACAGGTTGTTTTCTGAAAGGCCTCTTGAGTACACTCATGCCCCCATGCATAGGTTGAACTTGATCATAAAAATAGTCTGGCGCAGTAAAAGTAAAAAAAAAAAACCTCGACTGGCAAATGTAAAAAGTTTTTTTTTTTTTTTTTTTTAAACGGACCAGTCTGTCATATTGCTTGAAGTAGTCCCCAATGCAGAGTCCAGGCTGTCCAGGGCAATCCAGACAGTAAAAGACGGTGTGTCCTCTCTGCCCCCTCTTGAAACAGGCTCTGCAACTTTTATTTTATTGATTTTATTTAAGTCATCACTGAGTGAATCGACCCCTCAAAGCACACAGGCAGAGCATCAGAAGTCAGTCGGATGGCTTCCGATGCTCTGCTACACTTCTGGGTGCCATGTGAGGAGCGATCAATCGACAGCCCGGCGGTCAGGAGAGGTATTACGGGATGCCTCGACATCGAGGGATCGCTGCAATACTCTTAGAGCGGCTGGAAGCAATCGATTCCAGCGCTCATATTTGGCGCGGACACGCTAGGTACATCCGCAGTCCTTAAAGACCGTTTTTTGTCGGACATACCTAGTAGTCCATGGTCCTTAAGGGGTTAAAGAACACAGGAAGATGATGGTTCATATTATACAATATTTTATGCAGTCAACAAATTCATAATGCCAAACATCTGAAAATTCCTATTCAGAATTACAATAAGAAATTATGAATACTTAATTTATACCTTCCGGTTAGCAGAGAAATTATGAATGAAGAATTCCTAAGGGATAATATATTGGTCACTAGGGTCTTTCTTGTTGCAGCTGCATCTTAAGTGGATGATTATCCTTTTAGAATTTTCAGGAATAATAATTAAAAATAGAAGATGTTATAAAGTAGGTTCATGGCATTGTAATACGGTGGTTAGTGTCATAATGAGTCCCTTATTAAAATACAACATGTAAACTCAAGTCGAAAGTACTGTGAAAACCCAAATATTTAAGTCTTCACTGAGTGTCTCGACCCCTGGCTTCCGATGCTCTGCTACACTGCCGGGCGTCACGTGGGGCAACTCGAAAGTGAATGCTCCTGGGGTGTGATGAATCAGCAGCCTGGCAGTCATGAGAGATGTTTTACGATGCCTTTCTGCAGTACCCTTAGAGCAGCTGGAAGCGATCACGATAGCTTCCAGAGTTCAGATTTGTACATTTGTGTGTAGTATTAGTGTTTGAGTGAAGGATGTGTTTGAGTGTTTTTTATATAAAATAGAAATTTGAATCCTGGGGTTTTTGTATGTAATGTTTGTGTTTGCATGTTGGGTTGGTGTTTGATTGCTGGGATGTATGCACATTTACTGCCACGTACATACATACACAAACAAATTAACACACAGACACACACACATTCATATACATGTTGACAGATACAGACCTTGACACACAGATACACACACACACACACTCAGATGCGCACATTGGAACACACAGATACACACACTCAGATGCACACACCTTGACCCACAGATACACACAATGGCACACTCATATACAGATACTGGCACATACACACACTCAGATGCACACAGTGACACATACACATAATTACACCCACAGATACACACACTGGCACATACCTTGACACACAGATAGATACAGTCATATACACACTGGCACATGAAAACACACTGATACACACAATCTGACATACATCAGAGCCACCAGTCTTGGTGTTGTTGGCTTAGGATGATGGGAGTGAGCTGCTGCATGCTCACTTCAGCCTCTCCGCTGCCGTGCATGCTGCTCCCTCTCTGGGCTGACGTCTCCAGTCTCCTCCTCCTTCCCTACTGCGCGGCAGCAACTCTGTGGAGCTGGGAGGAAGTGCTCTCACTTCCTTTCAGCCGGCCTATACTACAGGGGCTCGGTCATGCACATAAAGTTTTGTTTGGCAGAACCAATTTGTGGGAAACACTGCTCTACCGTGTGCATATACAGCGCTCCAAGTAGTATGTTGTATCCATAATCCATATAATGCAGTACCATCAATCATTACAGCGATCCCAGAGGAACCACCATAAATTTCACTCCTGTAGCACACAAATGCTATTTCCTACTGGGAGTGCATTATATGCATTGCCCAACAGCATAAAGCATTGAAATCTGGTAATCCAACATTCCAGTTACATGTAATTAAAAGACTAAGAAAAATCTAGATTTAAAAACAGTTTATTGGCTAAATTGGCTGGTTACAAAAATACATTTTAAATTTGTGCAAAAATTTTAAATGGGAAAATTATATACTATTTCTGAAAAACTGCACAATGCCCTACGCTAATCCCCAGCTTACTATGTGCACGCAATATGCCATTGTAATGAAAGTGTTTTATGCAAATCCCATCACACTTTATACCAATACCTCGCTTACTTAGCAAGAAAGAAAAAAATATCCTCAGCCCACAATTCTGATCTGGACCCAACCATTTGAATACACTTTACACTGTACACACACGATTTAATAGTTCTTGGATTTCTTTATAAACAAACAGAATGCCAAATTAATTTGACCTTCTTTCACTGTCTACGGTGCAGACATTTTTAGATGTTTCAAAGGAAGCAGGTTTTGTTTACTTTCCTGCCCTCCTGACTGAGTATTTGCCTTTCTGTAGCTGTGACACGTAAATCTTTGTCTTGCTGCTGTCTCCCCGTCTCAGCCAAACCTCCCCTGTGCTTACCGCAGTAATGATAGCCCTAAAAATAAAAACAAGATCTTTGTTACTACATCATTAAAACAAATTGTGGAAATTCATGGTAATTAAAAGAAGCTAAAAGCACAAGTGTTATTGTGTAAATTCCAGAGAAGTAATCGTTCCCTTTATAAAACATTGAAAATCATATATAAAACTACATGATTTTTTTTTCTCTCATTTAGGAGTTGCTAAATTTTACATAAAAAATAAATAAATAGCTAATTACATAATAATCCCATTTAGACAAGGCAAAGCCACGGCAAACACTGAAAATGAAGAAGAGAAATAGAAACATAGCGTAATTTCTCCCCTCTATGCTGACTGCCAGATGAATAAAACCACAGCTTATAACAAGGATTAGCAAAGCACCAGGAGGCTCAGGAACACAAACACGTAATGCTGACCCTAGAGTGTTAAAACACTATTTAGCCCACTGCCCTCCCCCCTCAACATCCTCAAGATCAGAATTGATAATCTCAGCCAATAGATTATTATTATAGTAGTCATGTCATAAGTTTGGTTAACAAACATTTTTTTTTTTTTTGTAGCGTGTAAGTGCCTGCGCAGAGGCATGGTTCTCGGTACATTGTTATAAGCCGTTGGTTGCCTGCGCGGAGGCGGGTTTGGCATTCTTTATGCATCATAGTTATCGGTCATACATTGCGGTTTGTGCATGTCTGGATGTATACGTTTATTTTATGTAAATGTTGTGGTAGACATACAGGTATGTTTTTGAACCTTGTCGTGAGCTTATTGCTTCTAGTTAGTCCCTGTGTGCTTTGCATGTGCTAGAGTTTTCAACTATTTGTCGCGTCTGTTGGGATCGTTGATGTTGCGATTGGGTTTTACTTATGGCTTTGTGTACTAGGTCTTTATGTGGGAATGTAGTGTGGATGGCTTGTCTCCCGTTGCCGCCTCGGCCTGTCGCGCACGCAGTCTCCCGAACTCCCACTCAGGTCTGTTCTCTCTCCCTCTCTTTCTGCGGTTACTGTGTTATGTGGTGGTGAGAGGAGTCTGAGGTGGTATGGCGTATCCAGTTGAACCAACGTTTTATGTAGCGGTCCCTTTGTGTCAGGGTATTAGCTTTCATATCCTCAAATTTCCGTGTAGCTTCCACCTCCTCCACCCAGCGTCTCAATGGGGGTGTGGTGGTCTGCTTCCAGTATATGGGGATGGTCGCCTTGGCTGCGTTAAGCAGTCTGGGGATAATGGATCTGTAATGGATGTGTTGTCATGGTGGTTCGGTGTAGGAGGAAGGTGTCTGTTATTTCCTGTATCGTTTTACGGATCGTTTCCCAGTAAGGACGGATCCTGGAGCAGGACCACCAGATATGTGTGAACGTTCCCACCTCCTCCTCGCATCTCCAGCAGGTGTCTCGTATCTCTGGGTTTCTTGCATGGAGCGCCCACGGCGTCAGGTACCACCTGGTAAATATTTTGTACAAGTTTTCCTGTAGGCGCGCTGAACCCGGCGTTTTCTGTATCAGGGTGATGGTTTTGTCCCATTCTGCCTCGGTCATGGGTTCGTCTAGGTCTTCCTCCCAGTTTCTGATGCGGGGGGGGCGCGCTAGTAAGTATCTGCTTGCAATCAGGACTGAGTAAATCTGTGATATAGCTTGTGGCGGTTCCTTGTCTTGTGTTCATAGGAGTTCGAATGACGTTGGGTCTCTCAGGGATGGTTTTTGAGGGATGGATCGGGTGTATTGTGCGCTTTGCACTCTCGCCAGTGTGTGCATGAATGTGTGTGGTCGGTCCAGGAAGAGTTCGTTCAGCGGGCGGATATCGAATGGGCGTTGGAGGACGTCTTTCATGCGGAGGATTGGTTTCTGTCCTATCGGCCTGGGGATGGGCACAGTTCTCCTGCCGGGAAATCCGGGTTGCCCCTCAGAGGGAGGAGTGGGCTCGGGTCTGTCGTCAGGTATTGTTTCGTGCCCTGCCTGTGCCAGACTTGCATTGTCGCCGTCACGAAGGGGTTGGTGATGTGTTTGTAGTCATCTCATTTGTATTCCTAACGCTATAGTGTTCCTTTAAATAAAAAGGACATGAATAATGCACAGGATAGGATGGTGGTGACCAAACAAGGTTTAATTATAGGTAATGAGAAGAAATAAACTACCCTTAAAGAGTACAAAAAAATAGTTAGGGAAATTAACTGAAGTACATATATTTATTCCTTCTGCATTCTGCTTATATGAACTGTTCCTTACTGTGATGGGGGTTCATCTTTCACATCTAGGATAATGGCTTCTCCTTTTGTAAAGCTCTCTCCCTCGTAGTACAGACAACCATCTTCACAACGAGCACTAAAGTGCTGCTTTTCAACCTTTATACCTACAGAAACAAAGTTTGTGAGGTAAGCCCGAAAGGACAAATGTATGAGTGAAAACCTAAATTAAGTTAATGGATAATCAACGTTCTCGATCAGTGAACTTACTATCAGATTTCCTTTTCTGGGGAGAAACTGCAGCTTTGGCCTGAAATAAACAAAAAAGAAAGTACAAGAGACTAGTGGAACTGCCCTATTGTGTAGGGATTAGAAACAAATACTTAATTTGTCTGCACACAAAATACATTATGTGAAATTAAGCATGAGTGTCTTTTGTGAAATGCAACATACAGATTAAATATTATCTGTTTAAATAAACTGAAATGATTTATGTACTTAAATGCCAAAATAAATACAAATCTTTTTTGAAAATTGGATTACTGCTTTTGTTTTGTGACTCTACTCATGCACCCAACAGCTTTGCAATAGTGATGCACATTGTGTGGCACTGCCCCAGGAAGCACATCTAGCAGCCATCTGAGGAGTGGCCAGTAGAGGTATCCCTAGGATATAATGTAAACACTGCATTATCTCTAAAAAGACCGTGTTTACTGCAAAAAGCCCGAAGGAAATTATATTCACCGGAACAAATGTAATAAGCTGTAGTGTCCCTTTAAAAAGTTTGGATTTTGCGGTCCGAATGCCTCCGCATTTAGACTTTAGTGAATAACCCTGACAGACTCTACAGTTAACACATAATATTAGGTCACAAATCAATATATGGGATTTTTCAGATATCTAAAAATAAAGTATAGAATCATGTAAATGTACACTATTTTAAGTTTTAGCGTATTAATTTGAGATTATACATATCTAGCCATATTTCACATAAGATCTGAAATAGCATAGAATCAGAAATTCTATTTGTTTCATACAGTACATTTTAAAAATAAAAAACAAACAGACATCATCAATACCCTGCTTATAGGCTTTTAAGAGAAACTAATGTTACCTTTTTGATAGCTGTCCAGTCTTCCAATATATCCAGATCCCGCAGCATGTATACAATATATGGACCTAAAGCTTGTGTTAAGGAAGAGTTAAAATGCAAAGTGGCTGCCAACAGATTAGAGCCGTTTAAATGGCACTGCTAATTGTAATATCATCACAAATATGGGAATAGATTGTTAGCTATAAGTGTTCAGGAAGCTATACATATTCTCGCTACTTAAACTTTCTAATGCCCATTTTGCTCTGGGGAGTATAACTCAGCCATCTTTGGCTTTTTAAAATCTTTTACCTAAAGTAGAGAAATGTCCATAGGCTGAGAACTGTGGTGATATCTTCATCATCTGTTTATACTAGGAAATAGTTTATGTGGCATTTTTCTCTTTATTTTGGCCTTATTTTACAAAATCAAATATAAAACAAAATAACTAACAAGTTGTGACACAAACAATAGTTTGGTAATGAAATAAACATGGCCTGACAGGTTTCTGGTTGCAACACCTGGGTGAGCAAATAAACTCAAACAACAGAGACTCTGTGAACCCCTTAAAACACTGCATGGACAAGAAAAAAAAACCCAAAGACTAATCCTGGGACTAAGGTGTGTAGTAATTTACTTTTTGGAGTCAGAGAGATAAGAGAAGCAAACAGGCCGTCCCATCTTAGAGTTTGCATCCAAAAAGTCTGAGACCTAGAGATGTTTTCTATTCTAAAGAATCATCAGTATCTGCGGGGTATCCAAACAATATTGTATCAAGACATAAATAGTTAACAGAGTTACTTAAGAAATCTATAGCAAGCAGTACTAGAGTAACAGATCTGTGAAGAGTCTTGGCTTTTTTTTTTTTTTTACTAGCAATAAGAATAGTCCTGTCATGATTGCATTTAAATCTCACAAACCCTTGTCTCTGTGGCTCTGGCTGTTTTGGGGATAATGAAAAGCTCTCAATTAGAACAGATCTGTCCTGTCTATGTAGGTGCAATTGCTGTGTAGAGAAAAACAAAAACAAAACAAAAGACAATTCAGCCGTTCAAACTTCAACAACTCTTCCCTTCACATTCCTCTATCACAGATTACCTTTAGTAGTGTTCAGGTGTGCATTTGTGGACTGTAAGCCCTTTGCTGATCTTGAATTGGCTGATATATGGAATATGATCTCACCTGCTAATTCCATAGGTCAGCTAGCAAAAGTTTAACATTGTTGTTGACTTCCTGCTTACTGAAATCTATTCCCTTAGAGGCGCTCTCAACTGGGTCCATTCAGGTATCATTAATGGCACAAAAGGCTGTGAAATCAGGCGTAGTCCTGCGTAACCGGCAATGTTGATGTTTCGCTCTTGTCATGGCCATTGATGCCTTCTCCTACCTGAAAACTCAGCATTCATGTAGTCAATAGTGGTACAGGAGTGTTCAGTTTTAGAATGGCCACACTGATGCCAACACAAAAAGTGAGTTGTGAAACCTTTCAAATCACAAAGTCCACGTGTATATATGGAAACAAAGCCCACCCCATCGGTCACTGCTAATTGAAACCAATACAGCCTCTACCCATGTCACTTCCTCCTAGCTCCCATGCCCATTTTTCCAGTCTCTACCTATACTTTTGCCCAGTGTTATTCTGTAGCAGACAGACCATGGTTCCCTGCTTTGGTCCAGCTACCATTTACGTTCTCACTTTGTGGGGTTCCTGGCTTCCTGACCTTTGGCTTGTTTCTTGGACCTGTGCTGCCTTCTCTGACTTCTGGACTTCAAATGAATTTGTCTCTGCTTCTCTATCCCTGGCTTTGGCATACTGCATTCTCTATCATCAGGGTTTTCTCTTTTTGTATTCAATTACCTCAGAACCTGTCTTCATTACCAGGTCTTCCCAGAGAAGGAAGGATTTGCAAGAGTGTGTTATTTACTTGCAGCTCTGAAAAACCAGGGTCCAATCTTAACACAGTTCAAGATTATTTTAAATAAGAAATTTTTTTCCCCCAACAATAAGAAGCGTGCTCAATGCATTTACATGGGCATTCAAAATGAAGTGTGTGCAGGAGATTGTTGTCTTTTACTACATAAAAGTACAAAAAGAAAAGAAAGAAAAATAAGCTAGGAAAAGGATACCAGACACAAGAGGAACTCTCCTTTTCTTTTCTGATCGGAAAGGATCCCACTTCTTACGACTCCTTTTAGATCTTAATTCTTCATCCCACCATTCTAAAGCAGAAGAAAATAAGAAAAAATGCTCAAGATTATCTGCCATTATTATAAACTAGTGTCTGCTGCTGAAGTATTATGATGACTGCACCTCCACTTAACACTGTAACCACCATCTTCTGACTTGGAGGTCTCGGTCCACTTAACCCCACATACTCAAACCCTAATGGTAGTCTTCATAAACGAAACACAGAGCCAGGCACAATATAGAGATAACTATACAATAAATAGCCAGGGTCACCATGATAGATACAAAGTATTTGTATAAAGCTCCCGCTCTGTACAACTATCTCCCTGGCCTCCCTTTTCTGATCTCATCTCCAGTAGTGCTCTGGCTGTAAGCAAATCAAGTGGGAAAGCTTGAGCTCTCTAATAAATGTTGCTACTATGGAGCATTCCAGCTACTCCTGACCCATTATTACCATTGCAGATAGACCATATTGACAGCTGCAAGAAGCAATAATGGAGGCTATCCGTATCTTGTTGCTTTAAGACTGTAAGCACCGTGTGCTTATCATTTCAGTAACTTTCTAGCTCATTAGTTTCACGGCAGATTACTAAAAGCACAGTGAAACTAATCAGAATTAGAAAGTTACTGAACTCTTTAGAAATCAATGCAGATACAGCACTCAGTACACAACATAGAACATGCACAGGTTTAAAGCAGCAGAATATGGATATATTATCCTTAGGGCCACTCAGGCTGCCAATATAATCAATCTACAGTGGTAATATAGAGCCAAGAAGTAGCAGACATTAAAACGGTCAGAATCAGCTCACTTACAGAGTCACCATCCCAGGCTGCTGTATGGAGCTTCACAACTTTGGTTTTAGCCATGTTTTTTTCAATTAATTGCAACAGAGCCAATCACTAAGCTTCTTTAAAATAAATATATAAGTAGAGAAAAGTAGGTACAGTGTAAACTGGGCTTATACAATGCTATTTGCATTACAAGCTAATAAATCTATTAGTGAAAGGCAGCATATTGATATTTGTCATCTGTCACCACCATTCTCTTCTGGTTTGGGGGGGTGGGGGAGGAGGGTGTGTGTGTGTGTGTGTGTGAGAGTGAACAGTTGCCTGGCATTAGTGAAATATTAAGCCTGGGTCATTTAATCTAAGTTCAGATATATGCTGCATCTCGCTGCTAGTACAGTTAGAAGCACTAGAGAAAACGTTGAGTGGGAGATAGGAGAATGGCAGGCATTTTATTACTGATCATAGTGAGAGACTATTTTACCATATACAGTTAACATGTTCTTGTTGCTAACTGTTTGAACGAAAGAAATTCTTCTTTTGTGAACTGTGGTGTCAGGGGAAAATATAAATAAATACATTCCTTTTGCCTATCCTGAGTCATTGATTCTGGTGTGAGATTATCATACCAATATACAGTTAAAAGTTATTTATTTTAATTTACTGTTTAGAGGAAAAAAAAAATCCTATTTTACATTATTTTCCCTTTGTGTGTTCAATCCAGTTTGTTCTGTACGAAAACTGTGCAGTGTTTCTAAACCGCAGATACAATGTTACAGCAGTAAATCCACCAGTCACGAACACATTTTGCAACACAAAACATCTATTTCTGTACTACTTCACTGGAAGTAAAGAATCATTTCATCTGAAAAGGTTTTGTTGCCACCAAAAGAGCACAGAGACGTGAAAGTTCAGAGCCAGAACGTATAAAAGACTATTTACTGTGAGCATATTATCGGCAATTATTTAGACTTATCTTTATACATACTATATTGCACTATTGTGTTTTGTTTTTCTATTTTCTATTTATATATGAACCAAACCCCAAAAGGAATCATTACGGGGTAAGTGTCCTTTTGCAATTAATTATTAGAGCTGCACTTCGCACTTTAGAGTTTGGTGTGCAGGGACATATTACCTAAACACCAAAGTATTTTTTTAAATTTTTGTTGTGCCTAATTGCGCTCTATGAAGCTTCACCAGACAGCCACCAATCAGGAGGAGGGTGGGCGGCAATGCGGTACTAGATTACAAAATAAAAATAGAGACACAAGGTTACACAAGGTAAAAATCTAAACTGCATTTTAAATTTAAGGTCAAAATAGCTGAACTGTTACGGGTTCGATGTGTTTTATCATACTTTGACTCAGATAATACCATGACATTATATTTAACCACTGGCTGTACTTTAAAATGTAAAAAAAAAAAATAATTTTTAAAAAAATAGCTCAACCGTAAAAATGTCAGCTATGCTTTCAGTGTGGGTACTGTGGCCTTAAATCTGAAATTCACTTTGAATTCTCACTTTAGTAAATAACCCAGTTTGTCTTTCTTAAAAACATACAATTGGTCAATGTGTAGAGCATGTTAATCTACATATTATATACATACATACATACATACATATATAAAACAGCTTCGTAACAGTCACCCACAATGAACAAATACAAATATTCAAAATAAAACTGCTGCAGAGCTGTCCCAAGTGTCCCCCTGGACAAGCCGTAAACAAAACGTATGACAAACGAACTTCACATTTAGTGTTGGCTTTAATGATTAATCATACCTGAAGAGATATCTATACTTTGACGATCCTCCTCCAATCTCTGGATACGCTCTAGTAGCTCACACTGCATGTTATCAAACAGAAGAACCTTTTCACTCTTTATCCAAAAAAAAACAAAACACTATAATCAACAATACAATAACCATATGTAGAATATTTTTCTACCAACAGGTATTATTTACTGTTTTATTATTGTTTTTTCAGAAGAACGTTAAATTCGACATTGGGGTACAGAAGGAAAAGGGAAAAGAAAAAAAAACAGGTGTTGGGGGGGCAAACAGTACAAGGGGGAAGAAACACGTGCAAACAGTACAAGGTCCACAATATAGAGATCACATTACATGGTGTACAGTAATTTTCGTGAATCAGCACTTAGTCTTCTTTTTCAATCTCAATTGGTGCCACAATATAACAGTTAGCTTATCTACTTTGCACCCTACGTGAGGGCCTTGCTCCGCTCCCTTAGGAGACTTCAACTTTTGCAAGCCACTTTAGTGTATACCGTCCATAGTTGTGTGCAGTATATGGTAGCCGCTGTGGCTAAGCATTTATTGAGAGACTGTGGTTATACCCTGTAGTGTGTCGTGTTCGAGAGTCTAACCTACACTCATGTGTCGGCTGCTCTGAACTTATTGTGACCAGCAAGTATGATCCTTTTGTGTGAGCTGCAATATCAAGTAGTTGTCACTTGGGGGGAGAGGGGGTTCAACAACTTTCTAATGGTTGCAATATTAACAACATTATAGTGCAGGCAACCACATGAAGAGATCCTGCAAAAGAAATAGCATAAAGGTCTGATGGTAAGTAGATCTAATATCAAACAAACCTAACAATTTCAGCAGGTTTGATACCAGCAAATGGTGGGTTGATTGTGGAGAGCGAGGACCGTCTATGATGCAATTTGCTGAACAAAAGTGTGGTCCGGGCACTCAAGGATCAGTTGAACATCAGGTTTATTGGAAAAGTGCAACGTTTCGATCCCTTGTGTGATGGAAACCTTGCACTTTTCCAATAAACCTGCTGTTGATGCTTTCTGAACTTGAGAAAGATTCTTTGTGGGATCGAAACGTTTCACTCCTATCATAAGGGTCTCATTTTAGTCTAGAGCAGTGGTTCCCAAACCAGTCCTGAAAAACCCCCTAACAGTCCAGGATTTAGGGATTACCCAGTTGTGTCTAAAGTGTTTTTAGGAGAAAAAAAAAAAACTTTAGACAACAGGGTAATCCATAGATCCTGGACTGTTAGGGGTAAAAAGTTTATGGAATTAGTACTTTATTACTCAAATGCTGGAATTGCATTATGAACCAACAGCAATGAGAGCTTACACACAGCCTGGTTTAATGAACCGAGCTCTGCTTTGTCATCGGCAAGAAGAGAAAGAGAAAGGAGAAAATGAGATTTCCCTTTTGTGCATAATCTACACAAAGTATAGACAAAACTGAAGCGACATGAAACTAAGTATCCCAGGTACCTGACTCACACCCCTATAAAGTTGTCATATAGCGCCAGCAATTTCTACAAATTACAGTCACTATAAGAAACTCTAAAAAGAAAGAAAAGAGAAGATTGCACGAGTTCCCAGAGAAAAGGATCTAGAGACTTATCCACGCACCGCTTAACATCCAACTCACTTCCAAATGTTGTTTTGCCCCTTGTAATTCACATTCATATCGATTCTTGATAACATCCAGACAAAATCCCCTGTAGATACCTACAAAGAATGAAGTAAAAGTCAGTTACTCATGCTGTTCTCAAGCAGAACTAGTCATGGACCTAAAATATGCAAAACACATAAAAACAAAAAAACAAACCCCAAAGTAAAATGAAATCTGCATTTGTAGCATATTTCTAAAATCACAATTGAATCTCCTGCAGATGTTGCTTATCCACAGGCAAGCACACAGTAGAGAGCCCCTTTCAGATTAATGAGAGTCTTCATTTAAAAGTTCTAAATCTAGTCTATGGTGTTTGAAGCTCATGTCCCACAGGGGGATTACCTGATATGTAGTTCACCCCAGCAGCAGTTTTGTTTATTAAATCTGACGAGTGAAACTGCTAAATAAGCTGATTGTGTTGTATGTAGCAGTTTCTTGACAATCATGTTCACAGTTTTGTGAATGTAACTATGCATAGCACCCACCTAAGTTGATCACAACACACACACACACACACACACACACACACACACACACACACCTAGCTCAGGCTTCAGCACAGAGCTTTTCAGGAATGTACAAACATTTGTACATTCTGAAGATACAGTACACATTTCAATTCTGATGTCTAGGGAAAAGTAGTAGGCTAATAGCTGCAGTAACTATAGTACACTTTATGGAGAGAATAAAAATATATAGAGAATATAAAGTCACCTCAACACTAAACAGCACCTTAATAATGTATGCACTTTGTTAAGCACTTCAGTAAATTATAGTGCACTTTTATGTTAAAATTTGACGTTATATTCCAGCTCCCGGCATCACTCTGCAGCGCGCGAGGGAGCTGAGCAGAGTGCTCAGGGGAAATGCTCCCTCGCCGGCCGCCCAGCAGCCACTGGACCCCCAGGGAGAAAGAGAATCCCCCCCAGCATTCCCAAAGGTAAGGAGGCTAGGGGGGTTAAATAAAAAAAAAAAAGTGTTAATGTGAGTGTGTCTGTGTGTGTGTCAGTGAGTGTGTTTCTGTTAGCTAGTGTATGCGTATCTGTCAGTGAATGTGTGGTGTGTGTGTATTTAGAAGGTGGGGCGGGGGTGGGGGGAGGGTTGGCACCTGAGTTTTGTCCTGCCTAGGGCAGCACAAAACCGGGATACACTACTGAAAAGGTGTATGGAGCTTTTCATATTTTATTTCAAAGATATGTTTTATTATGCCGAATATCTTCCACTTCCTTCATCTAATAATGAAAAATAGAATAGAATGGCACAGGAAGAAAAAGAAAACAAAAAACCCAAACCACACACAAAAATCTGCTAAATATCAAATGATGCAGTTGGGATTATAAAGCAAGCTTCCTGAAGTACTTTATTTGTGGAGAGAGTGTCTTTCCCCCCCCTCCCTTATTTAACAAAATGTGCAGATTTCATTAGAAATCGGCACTTTTATATCCCCTCCTCCTCCACTGGAGACAAGAGATTTGCAGATTTTGCAAGCATTTTTTTAAAAAAATATATAAAAATATTTTCAAATGAAAATATTAGTGAAGTGTCCACTTAACCGTACAAGACAACACAAATATTAGCCTAAGTGACCAATACTAGCTTGTTAGAGGAGGATTTAAAAAAAAAAAAAAAAAAAAATATCTTATTACTACAAATAAACGACTGACTCCTCATTTGTGACTTTGTGTTTACTGTACTAATCTACTAATGACAGTTTCCTCGATCTGGGAAAAAGGTTATTGAAATCAGTTCCTGAAGAGAAGTGAAGTGAATAATGGGTTTGCTACACCTGCAGGTTATCGGTGCTACTTATTTACAATGATGAGGTTTTTTTTAGTCTCTCCTAATCCATTGCTGTAAGAAGCTCCTGGCAATAACTTGCACTCCCTCCTGACATCATTGGGGCCGCGAGAGGTCCTATCACAAGCCTCTCATGATTGGGCCAACTGCTGGCTTGGAGGGCATACACTTGCTCCAGGCCTGCAAGGGGAGGGAAAGAGTGGGGATGTGGATGGATTGTTTATACAATATATATTTAAAAAAAAAAAAAACCCTGTCTGCAATGGAGGGAGGTGAGAGGGAATGCCCACAGGGTGTAACAGGAGAGCTCTGTCAGCAAGGTGAAGATTTTAACGTAACAGTGTGTGTCAAATCAGTGAGTGCGTGTGTGTGCCAGAGTCCCCTGTGTGTAGGTGTGTGTGTGTCTGTCAGTTAATGTGTCCTCTGTGTGCATACACTGTTCAGCCACAATATTAAAATCACCTGCCTAATATCGTGCAGGTTCTCTAATGCTAGTAAAACAGCTCTGTTGTGTCTAGGCATAGACTCCACAGACCTCTGATGTTGTCATGTGGTATCTGGCACAAAAGACATCAGAAGATCCTGTAAGTACTGTAACTTGCGAGGTGGGGCTTCCATGGATCAGATTTGTTGTTCCAGCACATCTGACAGATGCTCAATTGGATTAAAGAACCTTGAACTCTTTGTCATGTTCCTCAAACCATTCCTGAACCTGTTTTAGTGTGATAGGGTACATTGTCCTGCTGAAAGATGCCACTGCCGTTTGGCCTCACCATTATCATGAAGGGGTGTATGTAGTCTGCAACAATTTCTAGGTAGGTGGTACATATCAAAGTAACAAACATGAATGCCTGGACCAAAGTTTCCCTGCAGAACATTGCCTAGAGCATAACACTGCCTCCACCAGCCTGCCTTCGTCCCATAGTGCATTCTGCTTACCCAAGTAAATGACACACACAGGATTAAGTTTTTCAGCAAATTCAGCTTCAATAGCTTTTCTGTGTGATTAGACCAGATGGGCTAGTCTTCGCTCCCCACGTGCATCAATGAGTGTTGTGCGCCCATAATCCTGACGTTGGTTCACTGGTTGTCCTTTCCAGCACCAATTTGGTGTGTACTAATCACTGCCTACTGGAAACACCCACAAGACTTGGTGTTTTGCAGGTACTCTGACCCAGACATATAGTCATCACTAAATGATCCTTGCCAAAGTCACTCCGTTCTTTTCATTTGCTTATTCTTCCTTTTTCAAAAACACAAAAAACCAAGTACCGACTGTTCACTTGCTTCTGAATTGTAATGGTTTGGGGAGAATGGGCTCAGTATGCTGAGAAAGGAAAAAAGCAAAGTCACTTAGCTAAAAGTCTTTATTGTTTAAACAGGACTGGGAAGCAAAAGGAAAGTCTTTTTAACATGATAGTCCTGGCAGGATCAGCACACCGATACTCTTTAGCAGGTATATAAAGTAGACAAAGGTAAATCAAGCAATGCAGGAGATGATCAGGCAGGCAAAAGGTTAACCAGGGATTCAGGTTCAGGTACAGAAGGCTTGTAACCTCTAGGAGTTGAACCAAGGACCCAGGGTAGTTTGAGTTTTTGAATAGGGGAGGGGGAATGGGAGCTTTCCCGTGAGAAGTGGCCTATGGGCCTGTTTAAGTGGATGGCCCCCTTGTGATGAGTAGGTGCACACACCCCTTTTGTGGGGAGGAATCTATGCTGGTTTGTCCACTTAACCAGTTGTTCCCCATACTGCTCCTGGAAATACCAGGATGGATCTCCCAGGGTTCTGACATGCTGAGGGGATCCTGAAGCAGCATAGGGGGACACACTACACATGCCACATGGAATGCGCGCCGGAGGGGAGGCGGGCCGAAGGGCAGACATGGTGCTCCTCCCTTCCACTACACGGCGTAACCCATGTGGAACAGCGGCAGGTGGTGAGGACCAAGTGAGGCGCGCTGCTAAGAACTGTGCCCCTTGTCGGAGGTCGGAAAGAGCTTGGTTCTCAATGAGTAAGTACAGCATGCCAGCCTCTGCCGCGTGATGTGACACTCATGTATCCTGCCAATTGTTAGGTGCCATTGTCATGATGTAATCAATGTTATTCACTACACTATCAGTGGTTTTAATGTTGTGGCTGATCAATGTTTATGGGCTGTTTGTGTTATTGTGTATGTGAGTAAACAGAGTTTGTATTGTGCGTTTTAGCTTCTTATGCAGTTGGGTGAGTACATGCATTGTCAGTCGTGTTATTTTTGAAGGACTGCCTGCATATCTGTGTTTGTTTTCAGGAAGCCATTTATAATATGTGTGTGTGTTTCTTGCGTGGCTCTGTGTATATGTCTCACACTCCAGAAAGAAGCAATTACTCATTCCAGGCACATTCATGGGGCACACACACTGATCCAATACACACCCCCCCCAATGCATACTGCCACAGCCTGAGGGAAAAGAGACTCCTGGTTCCACTGGGACCCGTGTGGGGGCAGAATATGTGAGAGGTCCATTGATCTCCCCAGCCTGCCTATTTGGGTCTAGCAACCTGTGCCATAGATTGTAAACTCCTGGTATATTCTACACCTCAGACGATATTACCTGCAACTTCAATCCTGATTTTCATATTCTTCTGTAAATCAGCTAATGGGTTAATATACTCCATCGCTTTGCCTGAGGTCACTTCTTCTAATTTGGCTTTCAGTTGGTTCAACCGCTCCTTAAATAGCCTATAAGAAAGTTAAAGTATAAATATATTACCCAACATATTAGTCCAGCACTCTCAACCAATCAATGTTGTCCAAACTGGTGATAATACTAGAAGTGTGAAATAAACAATAAATGTCAAAAGAGTCATACAGATAAATAATAAAAAGTTTCTTAATCTTAATCTATCGCACTGCTACTGGGCCAACTCACTTTTCCTTTAATTCCGAAAACTGCTTTTCCAAGTGACACATCTCATCCAGACACTCAATCCTGCGACGTTCACAATCAAGATCATCCATGTCTATGAGAAGAACATATGATACTATGTGAAGTACAAATAAAAAAAAGAGCATAAGCATTCTGTAATGAATAGATTCAAGGTAAACTCCACAAGTGTTTCACATGTCTGGAACCTGTCATATTTGTGACAGTTTACAAAAAATACAAATGTCGATAAATATCATCACTTTTATATTTGCGGCCAGAAAGAGTCAGAATCATTCCCCCCCCCCCACTTCCGTTAGCTCCACTGAGCTAACAGAAGCTCCAGGTGTGTTGTCCTAGCATGCCTGCCTTCCACCCCTCTCAACGAGCTATATTATAGTTCACTGAGGAGAATTAGAAAGCCACGATTAAGTGTGCACGGCTTCAGCACAGAGGCTTCTCAATGAGAAGCCACTGACTGAAGTTTCTTTTTAAGCTGTTTATAGCTATACCACCAAATGCAGAAATAAAGCAAACATGTTTTTATTAGGGCATGCCCATTAAATAGAGATTTTTTATTTTTTTTTAAATGAGTCTTTCTAAATTTCTAAATATTAGTACTTGTTCGTTCTGGAAGTTCTACTATTCAAATAGTCTTCTAGTGCGTAATAAACAATGTATGTAAAGAAAACTTTAGATGACAGAGCAACTTTAGCATAGTGCATTTGTGGGTTTCCAGGTGGCATACTTTAACATCCAGACTTGCATTTTACATACCCGAACTCTCTTCCTCAGAGTCTGACTGACTGGCGCTGTCCTCCCCATCACTGTCTGCCTCTTCTTGGCCATTCATCTCGGCAGCGGAATCTGCCTCTGCCTCCATTATGGAGGTTGAGCTCCTATTGTGGAAAAATTAGATTACATTACAATATAGTTTGACTCAAGTCCATCTCAAATTAAGAACCAACCAGTTTCCCTATTATTATTAGTTATTATCAGCATTGAATCTCCAATTGCAACGTTGAATACCAGAGACTGCTAAAACGTGGCACGACATCAACTACGTGTGGCATATTTGCCGTGATGGACTACATTCCCCATGATGCCAAGGCATACAACTGTCAGAATTTCTGAGAGAGCAAAAATGTTATTAAATCTGGCACAAAATTAAAATAACTGCATAGCAACTGATCCAAAGGCACTTCCCTGACTATTTCAGGGTTGTTTGGGCATATTTTACAGACAAAGGAATAAAACACACATTGCAATGGTGACAAACATATGGGCATGTACAACTCCAATAAGAAATTTATGAACTAAACAAACATTAAATTTCTGCAGAATGTTAAATCCTAGAGTGTCCCAGTAAACCCTATGCAAAGCAACAATTATTACTAGGAAATTCCAATATTAACAAAAGGACCCCCCTTCCCTCCTCTCATTTTAATCTTGTGATTTTTGTGTAAGGCAAGTAAACAGAATTCCCAAACACCCAGCAATTACCTTTAACTACTAGTTAGACCCGACTTCCCTCTATAGCCAGCACTTCATTCCCATTTATTATTGATCTGCGATGGCTTCCTCCACTTCTTATGACGTAATCAACCGTCGCCTGTTCCCGCAGGCGTTTGGATTGACAGGCCGCGAGCCGGTCCGAGGAGAGAGGACCGGACAAGCAGCCAATGATATTTCAGCAAAGGGGAGGGAGTTAGGTTTTGTTGCTAAGACAACATGTCAACCAATCACAGAAGGCTTGACAAGAGAGTTGCAAAATGTTAAAGATATTCTTTTTTAATTTTTTTTTTTAAACGCAGAGTGAAGTAAGGCATTGTGGGATATTGGAAGCCCTCATTGATCAATATAGGCTCAATATGAATGAATGCAAGCACTGCAGGGCTTACAAAATCATACACATCTTATCATCTCATCTTATACACATAGGGGTAAAATCTCCAAACTGCTAACTAATAACCGAGCTGCAAGGCTAAAATAATAATAATAATCCAATTTCTAGAAAAGAAAACCAACAAAAGTCACAGCTTGACTATTTTAGCATGACTTTTTTTTAATTTAGTGTTTAATTCACTATAATTATGAATGCAGGGAAATAATAAGTCAGTGCCATAATACAGACTTATTCTTTCTGGAGTTTATTCGCTAAACTCCAAATGGTTTAGCAAATTTTAAGTTTTTATTATTATTTATATAGCGCCATCAGATTTCGTAGCTCTGTACAATGAGTGGATGAACATACATGTAATTGTAACCAGACAACTGGACGTACAGGAACAGAGAGGTTGAGGGCCCTGCTCAGTGAGCTTACATTCTAGAGGGAGTGGGGTAAAAGTAGGGGTATAAAGTAGGTTATTAGAAAAGTATTCACTGAGGGCTTAGTAGGTAATTTTTGACAGTTGCAGGGGAGGAGTCATGGAAGGTGAAAACCTGTTAACAGTTTAATTGATATGCTTTCTTGAAAAAGTGAGTTTTCAATGATTTTTTGAATGAGTGGAGACTGGGTGAAGTCTTACGGAGAAGGGAAGGGAGTTCCACAGAAGAGGAGCAGCCCTGGAGAAATCTTGGAGGCGAGCATTAGAGGTGGGCATACGGACAGAGGATAGGTGTAGGTCTTTGGCAGAGCGTAGGGGCCTCAACCGGACATACTTGTGTATTAGGGAGGATAGGTAGGCTAGAGCAGCATTATGTAGGGACTTGTAAGCACCAGAATTTTAAATTGAGCCCTATATCTAACTGGAAGCCAATGCAGGGACTGACAGAGCGGGGAGGCATGGGAGGTACGAGTGGACAGGAAAATGAGCCGTGCCGCTGCATTCATTATAGATTGCAGCGGTGCAATCTGGGAACACGTAAGACCACTGAGAAGGGGATTGCAGTAGTCAAGGCGAGAGAGTACAAGAGCATGGACCAGCACCTTAGCTGCATCCGGGGTTAAATAGGGGAAAATGCGCGCTATGTTTTTGAGATGGAAGCGACAGGATTTGGCGATTGATTGGACATAGGGGGTGAAGGAGAGGTTGGCGTCAAAAAGAACACCCAGGCAGTGAGCCTTCGAGGTAGAGGTGATGGTAGCGCCGTTGACTTGGAGGGAGACAGACACGGGAGTAGAAACACTTGAGGGAGGAAAGACCAGAAGTTCTGTTTTGGACAGGTTGAGTTTAAGGAAGTGAGCAGCCATCCAGTTGGAAATCGAAGAGAGGCAGTCAGAGACATGAGTCAAGATGGGTGGAGAGAGATCAGGTAGATTAGCGTGTCATCCGCATAGAAATTATAACGGAAGGCAAAGGAGCTGATGAGTTTACCAAGGGAGGCAGTATAGATAGAGAACAGTAGGGGACCAAGGACAGAACCTTGGGGGACACCGACAGAGAGTGGTTGAGGGGAAGAGGCAGAGTCAGAGAAAGAAACACTGAAAGAGCGCTGGGAGAGGTAGGAGGAGCACCAGGAGAGAACAGTATCCCATAGACCAAAATTACGGAGAATGCAAAGAAGCTGTTGATGATCAACAGTGTCAAAGGCAGCAGAAAGATCAAGGAGAATTAGGATAGAGTAATGGCTGCGAGATTTAGCAGCAATTAAATCGTTGGATACTTTGGTCACAGCCGTTTCAACAGAATGACCAGCGCGGAATCCAGACTGAAAGGACTCAAGCAGAGAGTTGGATTCGAGAAAGTCAGTCAGTCTGGTGTACACAACACACTTGAGGATCTTGGAGTTCAAACCAAACTGTAGAACTAATGTCAAATTCAAATTAAATTTAAGGCAAAAGTAGTCAAATTGAAAGTATAGCTGATCAAGAGAAATTTTCCAGTTTGGCTATTTTTACCTTAAAACAGAACTATCACCATCTGGGGACTTTGCAGAATTCCCAATGGTGGCATCAGTGGTAGGTAAAGGTGAGATTTACTTACTCGAACCTGTCCCTCACAGGCACCAACATATTCTTTGGTCTGATTCTCTTCAGCGCCAGTAACCAATGTCACTGCTGTACTCTTGTGCATCCTGCGAGATCCTCCATAGACACAGCCAATTCATTGCAGCCATCACTGGCGACAGCTGTCAGAACTGACAGACTCCACCCTGAGTCTAAGAAAGTACCTACTCTGTCTCTATTTCTCCTGACTCGGTTGGAATTTCAGTCGAAATTAGTATTTCATTACATTTTGATCTTTATGAAATAGTAATTTTTCAGGGGTGGGGGATGACACTGCCGCTTTAAATTTGAAATGCACATTTGAACACTATAGTCACCAAAACAACTTTAGCTTAGTGAAGCAGTGTTTTTGTATAGATCATGACTCTGAAGTTTCACTCCTCAATTCACTGCCATTCAGGAGTTAAATCACTTTTTCTGTTTATGCAGCTCTGGCCACACCCCCCTTGGCTGTGACTCACAGAGCCTACCTGAAAACAAAATGGTTCCACTTTCACTCAGATGTAACCTTAAAATATTTTCCCCTGCTCTGTAAATTGAACTTTAATTACATACAGGAGGCTCCTGTCGGGTATAGCAAGCTATTAACAGAGCAGGAGATAGAAGGATCTCAATTAAACAGAATTTGCAATAAAGTAAATGCAAACATAAGATGACTATTTACAGGAAGTGTTTAGGAAAGCTGTGCAAGTCACATGCAGGGAGGGGTGACTAGGGTGCATAAACAAAGTGATTTAACTCCTAAATGGAAGAGAATTGAGCACTGAGACTGCACCAAAAATGCTTCATTATACACCAAAAATGCTTCATTAAGCTAAAGTTGTGTTGATGACTATGGTGTCCCTTTAATAAATACAACTAAAACATTCACACTGTGACTACAGCAGTTAGATTATGTGTACATGCTATTCAGATTTGAATTTACTATAAGGTGGTGTTTAGTAAATAACCATGTAAACTTGGAATTTCTGGAGAACTGCAAGGAATATGGTAACATTTAAGCCAAAATTAGCAAACTGGAAAAGTACCTGGATAAATCATGAGCGGTTATTTTGGCCTAGAATTTCAAATTGCGTTGGCCATTCTTCACAGATTAACAGTTTAGGGGCTTATTTAAATTATATTTATTTCAATTTGTGACCAAACTGACTTGAATTTTTTTCCCCCATGTATCCATTTTGAAATTAGTTTTCCAAAATTTGTGTTTAATATGGCAGGGTTAATCTTTACTTATTGTGAATTTTGCAAGGATTTTCAAAAACAGACCAAAATATTGATTTGGAACAATTCTCCAAATCAGACGTGTATTTAACTCATCAATTTTGAACTAAAAAGGTAGAAAAGTCATGGTTTAGTGAATACCCAGTTTGCGCATATTTAAATTATATAATGATCAGATTGTGTAACTTTCTAGATAAGATAACAATTGATTATTGTAACAGCTGACAGAAAATACACAGTGTTATTCAGTAAAGGGGAAAATTGCTGGGAATTCAAAGTGAATTTCAAATGCAAGGCCAAAATACTAAAATAAATGAACACAGAATTGACAGAGAACTTTTCTTAATAAGTTACTCTGGCCTAAGGGGGGGGTGGGGTGTGTGTGTATATATATATATATACACACACACACCCCCCCCCCCTTGGGCCAGAGTAACTAATTTAGAAAAGTTCTCTGTCAATTCTGTGTTCATTTATTTTAGTATTATATATATATAATACTAAAATAAATGAACACAGAATGGACAGAGAACTTTTCTAGATTAGTTACATATATATATATATATATATATATATATATATATATATATATATATATACACACACACACACACTTGCTTTTCTTGTCCAGATTAACCTTGCTTGGAATAAATACATCTAGCTTACAATTTGCTCATTTTTGTAATATGTACTTATATTGGCCTACATTTTGCAAATCATTTGTTACCTCAATGTAAGTCACGGTTTAGTGAATAAATCAGGCATGTGAATTTTTTGATCGGCTAGACACTGTGGCATATATTTGCTCTTTATATGGAATAATTTGTTGACAGACTTTCTACAAAATAACTTACTTTATTATTACTAGAAGCGTCACATTTCATTTTGACTATTGTAACAGTAGCAGATATCTAAATGACATTGTCTGCATATGTACACTTTGACCTTGAAGTTTATTATTACATTTTACAATTTTGTCCTAAACTGTATAATTCCCATGGCAATGTTTCACAATTTCCATCTTAGATAGAAAGTATTTCAAATATAAACTTTGATCTTCAAAAACAAAAAAAAACTATTTTTGCCAACAATTAATTCAGGAACACAGTAGATTTGCTAGAAGGGACCTTGTTCTAGATGTTTACATGATTTTTCTTTCACTAAAGTTTGTTCTTTTACATATATACATTTATTTATTTTAGCAACACATGTACACTCATATACTGCACAGTCTACCAATGCCCCAATTAGAATGTATACAATATATTACAGTGGCATGTGTTAACATTAAATGTTGTGCACAGCTGCATATCTGAAAGTAGTCAAATAATAAATATACAAAGTTTACAGTAGAGACACTCACGCAAATCAACAAATAAAATGTACATGTAATATTAGTTAAATAAAACACTGTAAGGGTTTTACACTAAATCTCAAATTGTGGTAAACTTAAAAGGGAATCTGTACTATTTACCTGGTCTGTCTGTATGACTCTTCTGTTCTCTGCTGATTTGCCCTGCTTGGGGACATTTCCCCAATCAGGGCAAACCACCTCCGTGATGACAACACACTGGCTTAGTTGACAGCGTCTGAATTAAGTGACATCACTACATTCTATTTCTGTACTCCCTAGTCAGTGCTAGCAGCATGGGCAAGGGAGTTACCATGGCAACTACAGCACATGCCCTGTGGCTGCTATAGGGGAAGAACAGAGGGACCCTATGTGAGGTATCTTTAGCTCAATTATTCGGCATTAAGTGTCTGCCGAAGAATTGAGACACAGATGGCAGAAATTATTATTTTTTTTTTTTTAAATAGGTTTTTCTCCAAATCTATACATTTGTTAACAAAACTGCCAGCACAATACAGAGACGGTATCTTGAGCCCTTTTAAAAGAGCTACAAATTAATTATTCCATGATAGGTTCCCTTTAAATTCAAATGACAAGACTGAGCTTAAATTGCTGATCTGAAATCATTTTCTCCAAGTTAGCGATCGTTCACAGCTTGGATATTTTCGCTTATATTATGCCATTTTATTTTCAATTACTACAATTCAGGAGGTTAGTGAATAACATTGTAGGATAGTAGCGGGCAATTTCCAGTGCATACATTATACAAACCACAATGTCCTTCCATCAAGTAACACCTTAGAGCTTTGAAACTTAAGAACCCTTGTTCCACATCATCCTAGTTAACATGGGAGGGGTGGGTTCAAGTTCTAGTTCTGAAACATCTGGCCTTCATACAGTTCAATCAGGGTAATGTCAGCATCGCCGAGGAGAATCTGAATATTTATTCTTTAGCTCTTCCTTGAAACCTCTATATAGCTGGCGGTTCCTCTTGTTCTCCACTTCCTTCTGGCTGTGAAAGTCTCCTGGTAGCTTATGGCCTTTATGAAGCAAAAAGGCCGAGTCCAATACTGCAAAGGAGAAACCAGCTATGTTCAGTTCACAGGCCTACATTGAAAGGAAAAGAGAGATGATTGAGTGATATGCAAACATAATGGCCCTCCCCTCAACCAGAAGATCTTCTATGCAATGTTTCTTCTCTCTGGTGTTCCCTGTAGAACCCCTCTCTTATTCACCCTTGATAACAATAAACCCTTTACCCCATAAGGTTATATTTAGAGTAATACACTTAGCCTACACTGTTTGTAATCTGTATAATAACTATCCTTACCTGGCTGATCCTGTTAAAGCCATACTGCTTGAATCTTTCATCATAGGCTGGTACTTCATCACCTCCAATGTAAAATGGCTCCCAGGGGTCTTTCCATTCCACAATATATGCAACTTCCAGCTTGGCAGTGCCCTGCTTTTCCTTTAAATTTAGCCAGCGAGAATAATTGGTAGGTGCCTGGCATCGTGGACACAGTTCCTCATAAAATGCACGTACTTCTCCAACCTGGTAGAGTCGCAACAGTTCCTCTTTAGTGCCAGGTAGACGGCGAGTATGACGAATCTCAAAGGCAGGCACAACAAATACCATGCGTCCATCAACTCCACGAGCCGCAAGATCCAAAAAACTTGACCTCAGGCCTTCACTGGGTACCATATCAATGTCCACTACAAGGGTAAATATACCCCTTGGTATACCTGCCCTGGCAACATTTCTCAGTAAGTTATTAGGGTAAGAAGTATTGCCAGCATAATTTATCACATTAGTACCCACGGCTGCTACCTTTGCAAAGACAGACTGACATGTCTGTAGACGTGCAAATTCTACATGCTCTTCCAACTCTGGAAACGTTGCCATATCACCAGACTGGCATACTAGGTGGAAGGTTACTTTCTGCCTTATAGTTGGACATAGCTGAGCAAGGGTATCTGCAAGAACAGTAGCTAGCTTTGCTTGTGCAGCATTTGCGGCAAAGAGTGACAGTGAAATCCTACCATCCCACCGCTTTACTAGCTCTTCTAAATGCCCCAAGTTGCTTAAGCTTGTATGAGATGCCAAGATTACATCCGTGTTTCCCCAATGACCCTCTTCAAGTGCCACAAAATTACGGTAGATTCTGTATTGTCCACTAGCATCTAGAATGCCACCACTAGCCAGGACAGTCTTAAGGTGCATCTTATGTTCCCTTTTCCATTGTGACTCCGCATGAGGAGTGCCTGCTGGTGCTGGGTAAGCAAATCGCTGCTGCTGTCCATGCAGGTTAGAAAGAAGGGATAGGTAAAGCAGCTGGAGGAGGGCAACAAGGAGAAGGGCAACAAACACCACACGAAAAAATGAGCATCTAACAGTAGGAGGCATTGTTTGACCCAGCCTCTACTTCTAACTTCTAATAATACCCCTGCACTACTCTGTCCAAGGAATACAGCTGATTTTATAATTTCTGACCATCACTTTCTATTTACAGGTATAAACAACAATAAAATGCAATACTTAAATTAGGAGACACAAATACAAATTATCTTGTTTCACAATATTCCTTAATAGAAAGAAAATTGTGCTAAATGAAATGACAATAAGCATTATCTTCTTAAAGAACTGACAAACAGATCAAACGAATTAAATATATCAGTGTTAACCTAGCATGTAACGTTCCACTGCTGGAATAAAGGCTTTCATTGGATTCTAAAGGTTAACAAATTAACATCCTTACAAATAGTTACCCCCTAAACATGGACACCGAGCCTTGCAAGCAATATACCAAATGCCAGGTCTGGGACACCTATAAATCATTAGCAGGGAGCTGCGGACACCAGTCTGAGACCAGCACTGTCAGTAGCCTGAGATCCAATACCCATGATTCTTAGCATGTACACAAAACAAGCGCACATTTGAGCAATGGAAGAGTTGTCCGTGAGCAGCTGCAGCGCCACCAAGCGACCTGGAGTACGAAGTGCAGCGGGCATCTTGCACAGAGGAATTGTACTACAGATTTATTGTATTTCATGTTTCAGGCGCAAGACGGACCGTGTTGCCAATTTACATATTTATATATCTAATATTTATTTTTAAATATAATAACATAGTGTATAGGAAATTGAAACAGAACAGGAGTGAGCCTCGTGCACACAACATAAAGAATGCAGAGGAGAGTGTTCTGTAGGTGACGAGGTGGCCGAGTGGTTAAGGCGATGGACTGCTAATCCATTGTGCTCTGCACGCGTGGGTTCGAATCCCATCCTCGTCGTTAACATTTTCGTTTTTCTGAATTCATATTTATCAATATATTATTGCATTTTAATTATACATTTAGACGAATCTGAGACAAAAGCTTTTGAAAATATAGTATGAATGAATACAAAAATGGCCTCTTCCATTTAGATTATATGCACTTGCACATTTCTTTAATCTCTTTTATAAATAGGACAGATTTAAGTGGTGGATAGATTAGAAAGATTAGATAGATACTATATATAACCAATATACAGTGGTACCTCGGTTAACATAATACAAAGCAAGTTTGCCCAGGAAGCATTAGGCCTGGGACGTTTATAACGCCGCCCCCCTGCATGCTGGAGTCTGTGGGTGGCAGTGTTGGAGGTGTTGAAGCGGCTTTTGCATCGAGTTTTGGAGCCATTCTGGAATTCTTTTGCAGTGGTTTTGGGACTTTTTGGAACTTTTTGGGTGCATTTCTCAAACGGTGAAAACGTAGGGAGCCGAGCTTCATCATTTGCATGCCTTTTACTGTGTGTTCTGCATTGTAGGTTGGTTTCCATGCCAGCTCATTTTGACTTTTTTCTGACTAACAGAACGGATTAATTGGTTTTCAGTGCATTCCTATGGGAAATTGTGTTTCAGTTTACAACTTTTTCGCAATAAGAAACGTCCCAAGAACACATTAAATTAGTAAACCGAGGTACCCCTGTACATAGATATATATATATATATATATATATATATATATAAAGTTGCAAGCAAAAGAATGTGAACCCTTTGGAATGATATGGATTTCTGCACAAATTGGTCATAAAATGTGATCTGATCATCATTTAAGTCACAACAATAGACAATCACAGTCTGCTTAACCCCTTTAGACCGGAGGACGTACAATTACGCCCTATTTTAGGCGTCTCTAAACGCCGCCGGGCGTAATTGTACGCCCTCCGGTTTTTGTTAACTTACCCGGTCGCCGGCGGTCCCACGCCGGCGATTGCGGTGGGGGGGACTCCCAGGGAGCCCCCCCGCGGCAGATCCTTCTCCTCCGGTGCTCCCCGGCCATGTGAGAGTGGGGTCCTAAAATTTATTGGTGTAAAAAAATATATATATATATACTTAGATCATATATATATATTATATATATATGATCTAAGTATATATATATACACATATACATACACACACATACACTGTCTAGGTGTATTTTACTATTAATATATATATAATTATATATATATATTAATATCAAATTACACGTAGACTGATACTGATTAAATATATATATAATTATTGCTATATATATATTTATATATAATATAAAAAAAATAAAAATGTAAATACGTTAAAAAATAAAATTAAAAAAATAATTAAAAATAAATAATTAAAAATATATAGATGTGTGTTATTTCGTTCTAACTGTTTTGTGAAATTAATATATATATATATATATCAAAATACACGTAGAACGAAATAATATATATATCTATATACATAAATATATACGTATATATCACTATATATATAGCTATATATAAATAAAAATATTTTTTAAAAATTATATAGATATATACATATATATACACATACGTATATATATACATATATTAATTCTACATATATATTTATGTAATATTTTTACATAATTAGGTATCTTAATTAATTACAATTAGCAGGACCTGCCTGACAATCCATGCCGAAAGTAAAGGGAATTTAATTTGCTAGCACTATATTTAACCCTATAACTTTCCGAGACACCATAGAACCTGTACATGGGGGGTACTGTTCTACTCGGGAGACTTCGCTGAACACAAATATTAGTGTTTCAAAACAGTAAAATGTATTACAACGATGATATCGCCAGTAAAAGTGACGTTTTTTGCATTTTTCACGCACAAACAGCACTTACACAGACGATATTATTGCTGCGATACTTTTTACTGTTTTGAAACACAAATATTTGTGTTCATCGAAGTCTCCCGAGTACAACAGTACCCCTCATGTACAGGTTTTATGGTGTTTTCAAAAGTTACAGCGTCAAATATAAGGCTTGCGTTTCATTTTTTTCACATTAAAATTCGCCAGATTGGTTAGGTTGCCTTTGAGACCCTATGGTAGCCCAAGATTGAAAATTACCCCTATGATGGCATACCATTTGCAATAGTAGACAACCCAAGGTATTGCAAACGGGGTATGTCCAGTCTTTTTTAGTAGCCACTTAGTCACAAACACTGGCCAAAATTGGTGTTTTTGCATTTTTCACACACAAACAAATACTAACGCTAACTTTGGCCAGTGTTTGTGACCAAATGGCTACTAAAAAAGACTGGACATACCCCATTTGCAATACCTTGGGTTGTCTACTATTGCAAATGGTATGCCATTATGGGTGTAAATTTCATTCCTGGGCTACTATACAGTCTCAAAGGCAACGTAACCAATCTGGCGAATTTCAATTTAAAATGTAACGTGCTATATTTGACCCTGTAACTTCCCAAAACGCCATAAAACCTGTACATAGGGGGTACTGTTTTACACGTGAGACTTTGCTGAATACAAATATGTGTATTTTATTGCAGTAAAAGCAAACAGTATTATGACATTGACCGTTAAAATGTCATGTAGAACTAAAAAATTTTTTTTAAAAATCGTATTTTCTCCCATTTTTTTCATATTAAATTATGTTTCATAGCTAAATATTTGATATTAAATGAAAGCCCTGTTTCCCCTGAATAAAATGATATATAATAAGGGTGGGTGCATTTAATATGAAAGAGGTGAATTACGGTTGGACAGACATGTAGCGCAAATGCCAGGTTTTGTTTACATTTTGTTTGTTCACAACGTGTACATTTGGCTCCGTCCTTAAGGGGTTAAACTAATAACAAACAAAGAATGAAATGTTGCCATGTTTTATTGAACACACCATGTAAACATTCACAGTGCAGGTGGAAAAAGTATGTGAACCCCTAGACTAATGACATCTCCAAGAGCTAATTGGAGTGAGATGTCAGCCAACTGGAGTCTAATCAATGAGATGAGATTGGAGGTGTTGGTTACAGCTGCCCTGCCCTATAAAAAACACACACCAGTTCTGGGTTTGCTTTTCACAAGAAGCATTGCCTGATGTGAATGATGCCTCGCACAAAAAAGTTCTCAGAAGACCTACAATTAAGAATTGTTGACTTGCATAAAGCTGGAAAGGGTAATAAAAGTATCTCCAAAAGCTTGCCTTTCATCTGTCCACGGTAAGACAAATTGTCTATAAATGGAGAAAGTTCAGCACTGCTGCTACTCTCCCTAGGAGTTGCCGTCCTGTAAAGATGACTGCAAGAGTACAGCGCAGACTGCTCAGTGAGGTGAAGAAGAATCCTAGAGTGTCAGCTAAAGACTTACAAAAGTCACTGGCTAAAGCTAACATCCCTGTTAGCGAATCTACAATACGTAAAACACTAAACAAGAATGGATTTCATGGGAAGATACCACAGAGGAAGCCACTGCTGTCCAGACAAAACATTGCTGCACGTTTACAGTTTGCACAAGAGCACCTGGATGTTCCACAGCAGTACTGGCAAAATGTTCTGTGGACAGATGAAACCAAAGTTGAGTTGTTTGGAAGAAACACACAACACTATGTGTGGCAAAGAAAAGGCACAGCACACCAACATCAAAACCTCATCCCAACTGTGAAGTGTGGTGGTGGGGGCATCATGGTTTGGGTCTGCTTTGCTGCGTCAGGGCCTGGACGGATTGCTATCATCGAAGGAAAAATGAATTCCCAAGTTTATCAAGACATTTTGCAGGAGAACTTAAGGCCATTTGTCTACCAGCTGAAGCTCAACAGAAGATGGGTGTTGCAACAGGACAATGACCCAAAGCATAGAAGTAAATCAACAACAGAATGGCTTAAACAGAATAAAATACACCTTCTGAAGTGGCCCAGTCACCTGACCTCAACCCGATTTTTCCACCTGCACTGTGAATGTTTACATGGTGTGTTCAATAAAAACATGGCAACATTTCATTCTTTGTGTGTTATTAGTTTAAGCAAACTGTGATTGTCTATTGTTGTGACTTAGATGATGATCATCAGATCACATTTTATGACCAATTTGTTCAGAAATCCATATCATTCCAAAGGGTTCACA